TACATGGGTCAGCCCTTATAGTCAACTCAGAACCAAGTTCAATTCAAAGTTCTGATTATCACCTACAAAGCCCTATGGCCTTGAACCCATATACCTGCCATGGTAGCTTCACTCATCCAAACACAATCTTCTGAAGATGCCACCCTGCAAATAGGTAAGAACAGCAACTGCCTATTCACATGAATTCTCTGCTGTCTTCCATCTTGTGGAATGGCTTGCCTCAGGAGATCAGAAAGGCCCCCACATCTATCATTTCACATAAGGTGCAACACAGAAAAAGAAGGAAGAAACAGGAGAAATTTTTTATAAAGGGATTAGAACTACAGTATAATAGAAAAGCTCAGGGGTCACTTTTATAAGGGAATAGGATTCTGGAGGTGGAAAGTTACATCAAGTCACATGGTGACCCCATTGGGTTTTCAAGGCAAGAGATGGTCAGTGGTGGTTTGCCATTGTCTGCCTCTGCATAGCAACCCTGGACTTCCTTAGTAGTCTCCCATCCAAATACTAACCACAGCTGACCTACTTAGCTTCCAAGATTTGATGAGATCAGGCTAGTTAGGTAAGAGCTATAAGACTGTACTTTATTGCAATGTTTATTGTACTTTATTGCAATGTTTATTGTATATAATACCTTGCATCTTCCATGCAAGCAATCCCCACACACACACACACACATCTATCCTGTCAGCTCAGTCCAAAAAGGACTAGAATGGGCAACTCTCTGCCCTTGCCTCAGGCATCTTCTACTGACCAAATGGCTAGTCTTTTGTCTGTCAAATATACAGGCAGGCAGGGACAAAGAGCCTCTGGTCTGTACTATTGTCATGAATGAAGTGTGTTGCATGTTTCCATCCCCATCTCCTGTTTCACCTATATGTCAGGAAATACCTTTTGAATAATCCTCTCATTCCTGTCTCCATATATTTGTCTAAGATATCTGCATTCTTATACCTATGCCAGACCTATCAAGGAAACATTAACTCTCCATATCTAGTGAATGTTCTCTCATTCAGGTTCATCCTGCCACACATTAAGAAACATCACCTCTTTTGTCTGGCACCAGGGAAATGCCAGGCCAGTCTATTGTTCCACAATGGACACTCCCAGCCACCCAGCCAGCACCTGGCTTAATCCCATTATAGCTAGACTCTGCTCCTCTGAAAGCTCACTGGTCCAACCTAGGGCTTGCCCCTCTGGATGCCACACCTCCTGAGGCTCATCACTGGTCCAGGTAATCTTTTGTCTCACCTGGGGCAAGCCCCTCAAGACCTCCCATTAGTCAGCATTGTTTTCCAGAGTCTATGTCTATGTCCATCAGAGCACATGGACTCAGATTGTGTGCCTCTGCCCTGATGCCAACTGACAGTCCACCCCTAAACCTTTATGGTTTAGGCCATAATCTTATCTCCATGGACCCCTGCATGTCTGGACAGGTTGTATCGCCCCATAACTGACCCCTCTATTGGCTTTCAATCACTTCTTCTTTCTTAGTTCTGTATTGCATGCTCTTTTTGAATGTTTAGTGTGCTTGTAATTAGAGACCTACTTTAATAAAAACTATTTAATTTACTCTTCAAATCTGGAGTTTTCCTACTGTACCAGACCTCAGTATACAAGTGGTGTGCGATTCCTGCACCCCTCTGGTCTATCCTGCTGCATAGCTAACTTCCCCAAACAACAAGGTAGGCCATTGGTGATAACACTATACCAATTTATACTGTCACCCTGTCTCATTTTAATCTGCACAATTCACTCTCTTTCAGGTTTTCCTGTCTGAGACATAGTTGGTTAATTACTTCACTGCTGTCCTCCTTAATAGTAAAGTAACTTTTTTTATAGCAGAGGTCCATTAACTACATCTGATATTCACCCTTCCAAAATATCCATTAGCATAATTAATAGCCAGTTAACTAAAGCACTGCACCTTCAGATGTCAAACAACAAACTACAAGGTCAAAGCTGGAAAGAAAGTGCACTGAAACAAGTTCCAGACAAGAAGATACTAAGTAGAATAGAATCCTTTGATCAATAGATGAGAATATCCAGCACCTTATAATGAATGATCAATAAGACAGTTGCTTACAAAAAATTGGCAAGGCATGCACACACAAATACAGATTTACTAAAGCTATGAGCCAAAGGTCTGTGTGAGCATTTGATAGATCTATTTGCACTAACTATGCTCTGCTACATTCACTTAAACCATGGTGATGATTCTACAATGGCCTGCATACCTTACCACTGAAATAAACTCCTAATATAACAATATGTCACTGAAGACTAGAACTGTGCCCAGAAGCCACCTGACGTTATTTATTTAATTTAAGTTATTTATAGTCCGCTTTCCTCACTGGGATGCAAGGCCGATTACACAGAGCAAGTCAATAAAATCAGCATCATCAGAAATATGTCTAGTCCGTCATCATCTTTCACACACTGGAAACCGTTGCTCTGAAGGGTCATCAAACAGAGCATAGAGGTCTTCCCTGATGTAGCCTCTTATCACTGGTATTTATATGTTTACTGCCTCTGGAGACAGAGGTTTCCTTTAGACATCTTAGGTATCATATCCCAACATGAACATGGTTGTAGTTGTGACCACTGATTGATCTATCCTTCATGAATATATCAAATCATCACTACATTCAAGGGCCAGTATTCTCTGGAACATATTGCAGCTGCCAGCTCACTGAGGAGCAATAGGCAAGTCATATAGTTCATCTCATCTCCTGATCTCTGATACTTCTGACTTAACTTAGAGCAGTGATCCCCCAAAGTGATACCCATCAATGTGTTTCCTGTTGTCCAACTGTTTCTTGCTTGAAGCAAATCCCCACAGTCCTTCATCTCATTGAGCAGGAGGTGCTTCAGAAGATCCTGGGAAACACCACCTTTGCATCTGTAGGGAGCACTCTCTTGGGAGTAGCCCTCCCCATCATAGGAGTATGTCTGGGAACTGCCTGCCATTTTGTGATTTGTTCCACCTCCCATGCCAGCCATTTTATGGTTCCCTTCTCCAAATTCCAGAAGTTCCCATGGGCTGAACTGTTGGAGTGAGTGACTCAGCATGAACATGGTTGTGGACTCCAACTGTAGTGTATTATCATAAGGAAAGTTTCCTCAAAACTACTCTTAACAAGAAAGTCATTAGACATCACTACAGATCATCCCGCATCATCATCATGAGCTTTATCCTCTGACTGTTCGAAAGGCAAAGATGCACATGGAGATATTATTACTGTGAGCCACCTTGAACCACAAAGAAATAGATTCCCGTGGTAAGAAAAGCTTTCTGTATAGTACCGGTGGCTGGTAGAACTCCTCTCCATTCCCTATGGTTTTGCTCTTTCAGACTCTCTCTTTCTGAAATGCATTTGATTTTACAAAAAGGCATCTTGAGACTGTTGCATATGTTAGTATGCAATATGTAGGTAGCGCCTCATTATCACAGGAAATATGCATACCCAAAGCTCTTGCAAGGAAACAATTCCATTTATTTTAAACATTTATATGCAACTTTTCTCCCAAATTGGGACTCAGACTGATTTTCACTAAAACACACACTCACACAATTAAGCAAGCAACCAGCAAAAAAAAAAAATTAAAATCATTCCACTCTGGTACAGGATTCATTGGGCAAGTCTCACTCAAAGCAACAGGCTGCAAACCACGGGCAGAGCCACGAGCCAAAAGTCCTTGGCCTCTTGACCTTCAAATTGCATCAAAGGGCTTGTGTCCCTGGCCTCATCTAGGCTGCAATAGGAAGGGAGATCTCCAGGCCCCACCTGAAGATTGGCAAGCCTAGCTAACTTTATAATCCGAAGCACCTTCCATGGGTCTGTAACACCAAAATACTCAAAAATCTGTATTTGCATGGTGTGAACACAACCAGCATTTCAAAGGCAGACATGGCCAGAAGCTATCACGGGCTGCTTGAAAAATACAGCTGCCAACAGCTGACACAAAACACTTCCATAATCTAGACACATATTGAAGTACTGTGAAGTATCAAGTCAATACACAAAAGCAAATCCCTTCCAAATCAGTCCTGACTGCCTCCACCACATAAAAATGAACATGCCAATAAATATATTTTCGGGGAAATTATCTACATAATCAAGAAAATTATGCATCTTCTACACTCGTATGGATCAATTTTTTTAAAGAAGGAACAAGTTAGTAGTTGAGTTAGTTGCCAATTTAATAGCAGCTGCTGAGATATTAATAGCTAAGAACTGGCAACAGTACGAACTCCCATCTATTAACATTTACAGCGCAATCCTATGCAGAGTTACTCCAGTCTAAATCCACGGAAATCAATTCACTTAAACTACAGTAATTCTGAATAGGACTTCACTGTTGGTTGTGGAAAATGCCAAGATGGTCAAATTAACATAGTTTGTGCATATTAGGAAAAAAAATGATGATTCATTTTGCACAACCTGGTAGCAATTTATAAATTTTGTGAAAGTGAGGGTTTTCGTGGTGTGCTTCTCTTGATAGAATTATATTATATATTAAGTTACATTTTTATCTCATTCTTTTGGTATTTGAACTGCTTTTGTTTCCTTATTTCGCGTATTTAAACAACAACAGCAGCAACAACAAAACCAAAGATGCCAAATTAGCTTTTCTGGTTGTACGTTTTACTGAGATATTTGTATACCAAACAATTATTCAAGGGGCGTTTTTATAAGGGGAATAAGGTGGCAGTTAAAAAAGAAGGTAGTAAATGGGTAATGTTTGGAAAATAGACTGGCTCAAGAGGGATCTTTTTATTTTAAAAAAGGTGTTAATGGTTGAAAACTTTAGACAGTTTTCATTTCCCCATTGTTGTAGATGTATTATACTGTTTATATTTCATTGTTCTCTGATTTTATAATCTAGTTTTATTGCATTGTTTGTTTTATGTATTAGACCAGTCTTTACTGCATTGCCTCCTAGTCCACCTTGAGTCTCAACAAAAAGGTGGCCTAAAACTAACTAAACTAATCACTATGTATAACATTGCACATGGAGCTACATGCAGCATTAAGGAAGAACAGGAAGACAGATACCTGTTCTATGCCAATAGGACAGCAGGGGAGGTCCGGTTCCTGGAGAGGTACATCTACAGCTGGCAGGAGTTTGTGCCCTTCAACAGCAGCCGCAGGAGCTACGAGGCTGTCACTGAGCTGGGCGAGCCCGGCGCCCACTGCTGGAACAGCCAGAAGGAGTGGATGGAATATATGCAGACCCAGGTGGACACCTTCTGCTGCCACAACTACAGGGTCCAAGAGGGATGGGGCATCACCCTCGCCAGGAAGGAAGGGTGAGTGAGGAGGGGGGGCGGTCCTTCCAGCAGGACCGGGGGTGAAAGGGAGCCGGGGGGGGCTTTTCCCTTCCCATCCACACTGGCAACGTTGTTGGAGAGGTAAAAGCCGGACCCTCGTAGACGCCCGCTCAGTTTTTCTTAAACCTAAACCACAACTCTGGGAGGGACAAAAAGAAGAGTGGTTTTAGGCAGGGAGTGATTTTCAAGGGGGACTTGGCTGCCAGGAGTTGGAGTGATGGCATGGGGAGGCAATCCCCCCCAATCTTCCCTCCCTCAGAGGCTGGATGGCCATCTGACAGCAATGTCGATTCTGTGAACTTAGGCAGATCATGAAAGGGAGGGCAGGAAGGGTTGCATCAGTGTCCAGTTCTCATGGCCCTCTTTTACAGGCCTAGGGAAATTCCTGACCTTGGGGTCAGGAAGCAGATTTTCTCCAGGCTAGTTTGGCTGGTGATCCTGGAGGTTTTTTTTTATCATCTTCTGGGTGTGGAACAGTGGTCACTGGGGGTGTAGTGGGAGAGGTATTTGTGAATTTCTTTATACATGCATTTTGGAATTCTGATATTACATTCAACACATACACAGCTGAATGTGCGATTTAAAGTCCACATTTATCTAGGTAGTGGTCTCCAGTTCAATTTGCAAAGTGGACATGCATTGCCTCTTTCTTACAAACAGATGTAGGCACATATATGCAAGATGCATGAACATTCCCTGTAACATGAATAGGACTAATGAGATTAAATGTAAAGAAATGAGAGGTACACAGTCTGTTACATAATAAATGTATGCAGCAGTCACAGAAGAGGTGTTAAGTGAGAGGGAGGGGTGGGACACTCAGGTATTATTTGTTGGTGTGGAAACAGTGGTGTTTCAAGTCCCCCTCTTGTCCATTATATGTGTATATATATATATATACATATACATATACATGCAGCTGCAGTCATTGCCAGGATGCAGCCTTCAGACTAGGTCATTGTTCGCAGCAGTCTGTTTCCCTCCTCCTTTCCTTCCACTCCACTCCATAATTTTGTCTGCTCAGCCTGATCTTGCAAAGGGGGAACCCTGTTCTATAAAATAAAAATACCTATTTTTCTTAGTTTCTCTTTTTTCTTTTTCACACTTACCTCCTTCTTCATTTTGCTCCCTTCCTTTCATAATCTGCCTTTGTTTCTCTTTCCTCCTTTCACCTCCCCCCCCCTCTTTATTTCCCATTCTTGGTCTCAGCTCCTTCTCATCCCTGGTTGGCAAATTAGAATGTACTTAACAATAGTAGTGTAGCAGTAAGCCTTTCTTCATATAATGAACACAAGGGGAGTTAATATTTCCCCATAATCTATCAAATTAGTAAAAGGATGCTCCCTCCCCCCTTCACATGCATAATAATAAAATGTTACTCTGTCTTAGTGGTTACACATGTGGAACAGAAGTTAGTACTCATTCTCCCCCATATTAGATTTAATTACATTTTAGACACTGTTCAGGCAGTAGGTTGTTGTTATTATTATATTGGTGGGACATCTCATAGCCTCTGTAAATGCTACTTTAATACTGTAGACATTAAGCCTCAAGTTATATAAGCAGGAACTTGCAAGGATTTGCTGGGAGGGGCATCTCATTCATCCCTCCCCCACGATGTCCTCTTTTCCTTCTCTGAAAACCCCCACAGCCTCTCACCTTTTCCTATTTCCTTCTCTCCTTTCCACCCAACAGCCAACCTACCTTTATCTACTTCTCTGTCTTCAGCTTTCTCTCTCCCCCACCAACTATGGCACAGTTTTGTGGTACTGGCTGCTGGGCCAGGCCCATTAGCATAGTAGGGAACCCTTAAGGGCTTTGGAGAGGGCACATCACTTTCCCCTGTACCCCTCCCCACATTATTTCCCCTTTCCCCTCCCCCTAGCAACCCCCATATCCTATGACCTTTCCCTGCCTCCTTCTCAGCCATTCACCAACCTACATATTATCTGCCTCCTATATTCAGCTATATCTATTATTTACTTACTTCATTTATACTTTGCCTTTCTCCATAGTGGGGACCAAAGCAGCTGACATCATTCTCCTCTCCTCGATTTTATCCACACAACAGCCCTGTGAGGTAGGTTAGGCTGAAAGTATGTGACTGGCCTAACATAACCTAGGGAATGTCTCTGGCAGATTGGTGATTTGAACCTGAGTCTCCCAGACCCTACTCTGAAGCTCTAACTGCTGCACCACACTTGCTTTAATAGGGTGGCTGCTGTTGAACATCAGCACCTTCTCTCTTTTGATGCTAAATATTAGGCACTGCATATCTCAGGTCTCCTCCCAATTGATGGACATTGTGCTTTGATGAGTTGAGTCTTTCCTTAAGCACCTTCCTGTGTCATCATGCATTTATGCTCCATAGAACACGTTCTATGAATCCCGCTTAAGTAGATCAAAATACCTACAGGTAAATTGTGCTATTTCACATTATAACAAGCAAACAGAGAATTTATATGACAGTCTGGAGTTCTCTAGCTATGGATTCATCATTAGCTGCACCATGGAAGCAACATAAGCAACTTCTTTTCTTTATATGACAGTCTGGAGTTCTCTAGCTATGGATTCATCATTAGCTGCACTATTAATTAATCATGGACCTGATTGTATCCAATAGATTACTATACATAAGGTGTATCCATATAGCTATACATCATAAATTTAGTCTGTGGTTTCTGAGCTCTGAGCAGGAGCAGGAGAGAGAGCTGTGAGAGAGGTGAGTGGGTTTCTTTTACTTGCTTTCAGCTGAGAGAATTCAGCTAAGGATATTTTGTGGGAAAACTGTGTTTAGCAGTGTGTGGAAGCACTTAGAGTTCTTGCAGAGTCCTGGCTGATTGAGTGTGGGAGAGGAACGGGCATTGTTTGACTGGGATTGCCTGTAATTGAGAGGAAGTGGAAGGGGCATTGTTTTGCCTGTGATTGAGTGCCTGGGTGAATTTGAATTTGAATAGCTGCTGCCTGACCTCTGCTGGGGGAGGCCTCTATTTAAGGAAGCACCTTGGCAGAGGCACGAGCCTCTGGCACGAGCCGAAGGGTGAGCTAAAGGGCTCTTTGCCTGTGGCTCTTAGCCTAGGGACTCTTAGACTAGGGGCGCTGTAAGAAGCCCAAAAAGAGCCAGAAAGACAAGGCCCTAGGCTCTTTGTCTTTCCCGTAAAATAATTTGACTTGATAACAAAACCCACATAAATACCAAGGGTTTAAAAGGGGGATTATATTTATTTATTTTAAAAGAATTATGAAGCCAGAATGCCAGCAGGGGGTTGGGGGCTATCCAGTGTTTTGCACGGAGTGTCACATGTATGACTATCTGCCCACTGGGCAGAAGTCTTGGGTGTGTCCTCGGTGCAAGGAGCTCCTGGTTCTCAGGGAACGTGTGTGCTCCCTTGAGGCCAAGGTGGCTGACCTGGAGAAGCAGAGACAGTCAGCTAGGCACACAGAAAAGACTCTCGGGGACTTGTTAGCTTCGTCCCACTCTGGATCTGGCAGCCCCGCTGCTGTCAGGGAGCATGAGGGTCTAGGGGAAACAGGGCACCATGCTGAGGATAAGGGGAATGTGCCCTCAGAAGGGACCTCTTCCCCAGCTGGTGAGCGGCTCTCCTTTTGCACCAAGGAACCATCCCTGAGCAGGGTGGGAGGGGGGCTCTTGGTAGTGGGTGATTCGATCCTTAGGCAGGTAGACAGCTGGGTGGCGAACCCGCGTACTGACCGTATGGTGACTTGCCTGCCTGGTGCGAAGGTAGCGGACATTACGCGTGTTTTAGATAGGCTGGTAGATAGTGCTGGGGAGGAGCCAGTGGTCGTGGTGCATGTCGGCACCAACGATGTGGGGAAATGCAGTCGTGAGGTCCTGGAGGAGAAATTTAGGCTGCTGGGCAGGAAACTTAGGTCCAGGACCTCCAAGGTAGCCTTCTCAGAAGTGTTACCTGTTCCACGCGCAGGGCCGGAGAGACAGGCAGAGATCAGGAGTCTCAATGCGTGGATGAGACGATGGTGTAGGGGGGAAGGGTTCAGGTTTGTTAGGCACTGGGATACTTTTTGGAACAAGAGGGAGCTGTACAGGCGAGACGGTCTCCACTTGTCCCGAGAAGGAACCAGGCTGCTGGCACTTAAAATCAAAAAGGTGGCAGAGCAGCTTTTAAACTGAATATTGGGGGAAAGCCGACAGGAGATGAAAAGTCTCTGGTTCGGGTTGGCTCATCTGAGAGAGGTGAGGGGGTACCGGTTGCTTTTCTACAGGGAGGTGGATTGAAATTGTCCACAGAGGCCATGGCTGGTGACATGGACTGCCGGACAACGACTCGAGATAGCAAGAGGAAGGATGCAGGCTTAACTTGTAAGGGAAATTACAGCTGTTTCTATACAAATGCTAGAAGTGTCCGAGGTAAAATCGGGGAGTTGGAGTGCTTGGTGTCGGAGGGAAAAATAGACATTGTGGGTATTTCTGAAACTTGGTGGGATGAGGAAAATCAGTGGGACACAGTGATTCCCGGTTATATATTATATCGGAAGGATAGGGGGGGAAGGGTTGGAGGTGGGGTAGCTCTGTATGTCAGAGAGGGTATAAAGTCTAGAAAGATTGAGAGGCTAAGTGAATTGGATTCGCTTCTGGAAGTTCTATGGGTTGAAATAGGGGGGCCAAAAGGAAACTTAACACTGGGAGTTTGTTATCGCCCACCAGATCAAAAGATAGAGGAGGATTATAAAATGATGAATGCCTTAAAGATAGCAACTAGACAAAAACACTGTGTAATAATAGGTGATTTTAACTACCCACACATTGATTGGGTCAATATGTGTTCTAGTCGGGAAAAAGAGATTGAGTTTCTAGACACTCTAAATGACTGTGCTATGGAGCAGATGGTCACGGAACCTACCAGGGGAGAGGCGATCCTTGATTTGGTCCTAAGTAACACTCAAGACCTGGTGAGAGATGTAAAAGTGATTGCACCGCTTGGAAACAGTGATCATAATGTTGTT